CCATGTTGACAAGCAGAGAGCATTGGGGGTGTAGCTCGCAACAGTCACCATGACAGAGACTTCTGTAGCGGTTAATGGCGTCTGGCCAGAGCTCACACAAGCCAAGTTTCAATTTAGTCCAATATGCATATGGTATAATATTCACTGAAATCATCAGTTTTAATGAATGACTGGTTAATAACACTCAGGATGCTACAGTAGAGCTCTACGTTTACAGTCCGACCCTGAGGGGCTAATTCACAATGCACTATGACCAGAATAAAATAAGAAATAAATCAAATAAAAGCTCTAGATGCACCTCTTGTCCAATAGCAATTCAACTAATGCACTAATTTACTTACTATTACTAGAATTTTCAAAGTAACAACACTTCCAGGTGTGAAAAGAAGGTTTTTGGTGCATCCATTTAATGATTTACGTCTGAAGAAGTGTTTTATTGACTGACATTGCTCTAGTTCTTTGCCTTTTTGAACTATGCAATCTGCAGCTCATCAGTTCTAATTGTAACTGATAGGAAAGATGAAAAATGCAGTATGTTTATATCAGCATTTTTATGATTGGAAACAACACAGTTTGAAGAGTTTTTTTGAGCGCTGTTCCTTCACTGAGACTTACCATTAAAATGCTTCAAAGCTAGTCTCTGTGAAACGTTGTCTCTTTTACATTTATGTACCCTTTGAACTAAAAACCAACTTTAAAGTCAAAAATATCTGTAACCTTAACCTCTTGCCTTCAGCCTCGGGCTAAATACTGAGTTTACAAGTGTGTGGGGGAGTTATTGAGCATTGCAGTGTGTTTACTGACAGGATAGAGGACATATTATCATGCTGGATGTCCAACTTTTGCAACATGTGGGTTTCTTATCTTCTTTTACAGTCACAACACGAAGCTCTCCCAAAAATTCCCTGGGAGGAAGCCAGACGCTGCTCCCAACGCTTCAGTTCAGGCCTTTTCCACATCTCGCAGTGAGCTCAGAGTGTGTTTAACATACTGCTTTAACTGCAAGGTTTTTCTCTGCTTGGCTGACCATGACCTACACTGCAGTTTTTCTAAACCCCCTCTCCCACTCAGAGGAAAGAAATCCCTTCCTCAAACAGAGGCATTCATGGTTTGGTTGTTATTAACCTCACAGGACAGGCTGAGAGTAGCTGGGAGATCATACTCATCCATCCTCATCTGCTACATATCCACCATTACAGTATTTTAGCTTGTGTAGTTTTACCACTGCACTCTAAAAAAATAATGTTTGGGCTCAGCATGAAGAACGTAGCAACTTTCACCAATTTGCTTGAGGTGTGAAAACTTTGCATGAAATGATGTTCAACAAACAAAGTCCATGGAGTTAAGGGAATCAACTTTTCCTTTGACTACTAAATGATGAGTAGCATAAACACAAGTCTGGAAGTTGATTACTTCATAAAATATGTGCACATTGTAGAGGAAGCAAGGATGTATGTAAACCATTTTAAGGCAGGGAGGGATTATGTTCATAGAAGAAACTTCTAAAATGTGTAATTTAGACACACAGGGATGAGTTTTTTGGGTTTGAAACAACAACCAGAGAGGGAGTTGAAGGTTAGAGGTAGTCACAGTTATAAAATGTCTAATGTGTTTCAGTTTCTAACATTTTATGACCCATCCGTCCACCCCGAGCTCCTTCCTTATGCAGCATTTGTGGCCCTAAAACAACATTTCCTGACTTCTTTCTTTGCTTGTGGAATATTTACGGTGGCCCCTGGAGGCTACTGTCACAATGAAACACAACTGCGGGTCGTAAAACCTGTTTGGACAAACAGGACAGTTTCATAATTCTACTTGTAAATTGTAGATAAAGGACACTCCTCACATAACCTGCCTTGTAATCGTCCCGTTTTTATGTTTTCGAGCATTGAAGCTGCAACAAGAGCAACTAATTCAACAGATTTGAAATGTTCTGGATATAAGTTTGGTGCTCAAGTTGAAGCTCAGAGCCTAATATCCTCCTCTCAGTTTTGAGAGATATTTAATGGTAAAAAGAGAGAAAAAAAATTTGAGTTTTAAACCAAGTTTTAAGATCCTGGAAATGTCAACACAGTCAAAAAGTATTTACAGTCTGTAATAACAAATCATGCATGTCGATGATCTCAAGTTGGCTTTATCATAACCTCAAATCCATCTAACGCAAGAGTTGCTACACGAACAGTCATATTGCTTCACAGCTATGCAGGCTTTACCGTAAATGAGAAACACACTGTGATGCTGGAAGACTTAGGAAATCAAAATTACAGGTTGTAATGAAGACATGATTGGATGAGGAAGCATATTAAGATCTTTTTATCCTTTAAACAAGCTGATACAGTAATTTATCCAAACAATTGTTAAATGAAATTTAGGAAGAAGGAAATGTCCTCCTGAGTTGTAATTATCCAAACAATCGTAGACGCCTAACACATTTACAGGCTTATTAAAGATGCATATCAAACGTGACTGACCTTAAAAATTCCAAGAAAAACATCCGCTGTCCTGGCTGGATCTGATTGTTGTCCATGGATCTCTTTACAGGGAAAGGCAGCCAGATTTCATTATCATCCTCATCTGTGCTCCATTATATATCTGCCGTTTCCTTCCACCAGGCATGGGATTTCTATTTTGATATGCGCTTGGACTTGGAACTGTGGAGTTGTGTGTGTACGTATGTGGCTGATATTCAAGGTTAATAGTCCCGCTGCTCCCCCAACATGGAAGTCTGCAAGTCATTATCCAATCTGTGCTGCAGGATAAGTAACAACGAGGCTTCTGAGCACATAACTCATTCAGCTGATATCCACATATTTATTTCTGTATACATCACACTTTTCACATCATGCTTTTCACATATTTTACTCATTATATGTATTTCCCGATCAATATCCCTCACTTGAGGATAGAACACTGCCTCACCTCCATCTCCCCCATCCTCACCTCTATGTCTTTCCACCTTCTCCTGTCTATCTTCCTACCACACCCACATGACAAGTATTATTGCAGAATTTATAATACTGTTGCTTTGGATACATTTTAAGGCCTAAAAATTTTTTTTTAAAGTTTGAAGTCGTTAAAAGTCAATTGTAATACATTACAATATCAATGTAATTTTGGATCCACCTTTTTAAGGGATTTGTTTAGTTTTGGACATGCTTATATAATTTAGATTTTTTTCATAGTAATTTTGGACAATTATGGATCATTTTTTGACTATTTTGTGTCATTTTCGACAAATTTTGAGTCATTTTTAGCAGGTGTGTTTCATTTTTAGCAATTGTTAAATCATTTGGTTAATTTTTGACAGGGTTTTGTCACTTTGGATAAATTTCTACATTAAAAAAAATGTCATAATGAACATTTTTGAATCCCTTTGGACAAATTCCAAGTAATTTTGAAAATGTTGATGTGATATGAGAATGTGTTCAAGTAGTTTTGGACAATAATGAGCATTTTCTTTGTGTTTTACATGCTTGTGTCATTTTGGATAATTGTAGATTGTAATTCTTTTTGAAGGAGTTTATGTCATTCTGGAAAATTCTGTCAGCTTTTTGATTTTTTAGATACATTTTGAGCATTTTTAAAAAATGTAAACAAGTTTGTATCATCTTGAGTAGGTTTTTTTTGAGTCTATATTTACTTAATTTGGAAACCATTTGAGTCAGTTTGGACACTACCTCCTTTTGGACATGTTTTTGTCATTTTGGACAACTTTGGACAGAAGCTTGTTTTTTTTAGACAGATTTTGAGTGATTTTTTAAAAATTTTAAATAATTTTTGGACAATTTGTGAGTACTTTGGACAAATTCTGAGTCATCCATCCATCCATCCATTATCTATACACCGCCTATTCCTCACTAGGCTCTCATGGGGGGCTGGAGTCTATCCCAGCTGACTCAGAGTGAAGGCAGGGGACACCCTGGACAGGTCACCAGTCTATCACAGGGCTACACTTAGAGACAGACAACCAAGCACACTCACATTCACACCTACGGACNTGATTCTAAATTGTCCGTAGGTGTGAATGTGAGTGTGCTTGGTTGTCTGTCTCTAAGTGTAGCCCTGTGATAGACTGGTGACCTGTCCAGGGTGTCCCTTGCCTTTGTCCTAAGTCAGCTGGAATAGACTCCAGCCCCCCGTTACCCTAGTGAGGATTGAGCGGTGTATAGATAATGGATGGATGGATAACTTCAGATAATTAGGTACATTAAACTTAAAAAGATCAATTTAAATGAGGTGAAAATGGCACATGGAACAACTTCATTTTGTCAGAAAAGTAACTTAAAAGCTTGTGTTTATGCTACTAATCAGTAAGTGCATAAATAAAAATACCTTTAATTCAGAGAAAAAGCTGATTCTCCTGAAATCAGCAAAGCGTGTTGGTTGACCATCATTTTATTATAAGTTGTCATAACTCAAAAAAATGATGTAAACTGCTGCTTGTATTATTTTTCTATAGTGTACATCACAATTCTTCTTTATTCAGATAAATGCGGAGGATATATTCCACATTCTGTCTACGAACAGTGAGGCTCACACAGTGTTTTTGCCTTTGCAGTGAGAGTGGAAGTGGCCCAGACTTAGTGGTTGACTTTTCTTTACTTAGGCCTTAATTACAAGCCAAACTTTCATGGAGGAAATGGAAAAGAAACTAAAAGAGCCTTCATAAAAGAGCAAAGAAAGTCATTGTAATTATGTGATTCTGGCACTAAACATGTTACTGCATCATTCTTTTTTTTTTTTTTTATTTCTTTCCCCCTTTTTTCTGGCTCTAAACACTCAGAGGGGACAGTAAACAGACAGTCAGCCTGCAGGTTAAATCTAAAAATGTACTGGATCACATGTGTCTGCACCAAAATAAGGAGCAACAGCAGTTTTCTGGAGGTGGAAAAAAAAGGGTCCACTGTGAGAATCTGACGGTGGATAAGGGGAAGGGTTTGGGGGCGTTTCTCTCTTTGGCTTTAAGGGAGGAACTTGACACTGTGTCTGATTATGGTCATTTCTCTTCCCGGTAATCTGGCCGGCAGGGGGGCGAGATATTTCACTTTATCTGACATATTTTGCATTTTAGTCAGCTACTTTACATGCTGAGCCTCAGTGGAACCTAAAACCAAAGCCCAGACTGAGACAGTGCAGAGTGAGCTGGCAGCGGACGGTCCCGGGGCAGCTCCTGACGGTGCGTCGCCAAGAGTCCGGAGGCTGAGGTTTGTGTGGACATTTCTGGGAAAACCTCCAAAGCTCACATTTGCCAAAAAGGGGGAAACCTGGGAAGAGCCACGGTTTTTCCCTGCACAGTCCCAGCGCAGGTTTAGACCGCATTTTGTCGGAGGTTCTTCCTTCCTGCGCGCAGAGGATCGTCTCACAGTTTGCTGGAAATGAGCGATGCCCACAGGATTAATGGGATCATAAGTTATTACGGCGCTAACGAACTTTGTATTTTGGAGATGGTTCAGTAGTTTTTGTTCATTCATTTTATCCGCTGCTGAGGAATTATTCAACACCAGATTTTGGATATTTGGGGATGATCTGTACTCCGGATCCGCAGTTCTTATACTTGAAGTGTTGCTGAGATGAAGTTGTGGATGTAACTCTTCACGCACAAACTCCACTCGTTTTTCTGCCGTGTCTGTGATTTCCTGAGCAGAAGGCATGCTCACAAAGTGATCACTGGCAGACTATTATGCGCCGATCCTGCGCACTGAACGTCCTCATCTGGAATTAATTGATTAACAAATGCACTAAAGACGCGCCAGGATCGAGGCTCCACCGCTGGATCTGTACCTTCAGCCTACTTTACGCCACCAGAATGAGGGTTCTTGTTTTCACTGCAGCTCTGATATGTCTGCTAACCTGGACCCAAGCCGACAAACACACACACCTCAAGCGGGTGCAGTTGCACCGACGCACCAGGCAGGGACGTACCCATCTGGGCGCATCGGACAAGGAGCGCGTCGCGGGTCGTTTGCGCCCCGGATTTGGGTCTGCCATCTCGGTGCACAGCTCCAAAGGGGCAGACGATGTTCAGGCTGACGAGGCTGTTCCCGCCAGGACTGGGGCTGGGCAGGGCAGGAGAGCAGGGGCTCAGGTGCCAAGGAGAGGGTTCACGGGACAGATCGGTTTGCCTCGTCAGGCGGAGATGCTGCAGGATGAGGGAACTCCAGGAGCCAGAGCCAGAGTCACCAGGATGCCCAGCAGCTCCGGGTCGCCTAATCTGCTGGCCAGTTTCGCGGGAAAGAACCGCGTGCTTGTGATCTCTGCGCCTCATGACTCAGACGGCTACTACCGGCTGATGATGTCTCTGCTGAAGTCAGATGTTTACTGCGAGCTGGCAGAGAGGCACGTCCACCAGATCGTCATGTTTCACCAGGAGGGAGAGATGGGAGGCAGGGTGAGGAGGATCACCACGGAGGGGAAGGTGATGGAGGAGCCGCTGGACACCGCGCTCATCCCCAGACTCATGAGCTTCCTCAAGCTGGAGAAAGGTAAGAAAACCTCAGACTGAGCTCCTCCAAGGCATGATGTAAAACATAACTGATGATGTTCTGACCTGCAGGTAAGTTCGGGATGGTGCTGCTGAAGAAGACCCTGCAGGTGGAGGAGAGGTACCCCTACCCGGTCAGACTGGAGGCCATGTACGAGGTCATCGACCAGTCGCCCATGAGGAAGCTGGAGAAGCTTCGCCAGAAAGGCTTCGTCCAGAAGTGTAAAGCAGCAGGTGTGGAGGGGCAGGTGGAGGAGGGAACTCTCTCAGGTGGGTCTTACCTGCAGTCAACACAATAACTCAAAGATCATTTTAAAATCTGATGGTCCAAATAAATGTAATTGTGTTGAATCAACCTCATTTATTTGGGCTGATTCAGCTGATTTGCTGGGGTTGACCTCAACTTCATTCCATCAGGTTGGGCCACCTTATGTGGATGAAGTTGACTCAACTCAAGTTCATTAAGTTGAACCAACAAAATTGCCTAATGCTGGTTCAATGAAGTTAATCCCATTAATAACTTTTAAGTGTAATAATGTTTAACTGAGGTCAAAAGTTGATTCAACCTAAGTAAATGAAACTGGTCCAAAAGAACTATGAATGCTGAATGAAAGCTGTTGGATTACATGAAAAAACTTTTCATGATTTAATTAAGTTTATCCAACTCATAACTTTTTAGTTTAACCACATTTGACTCCAATCAAAAACCTAACTCTTTGAATTAACTTAATTGTAATTATGGAAAGTATTTCCACATGATTACATGTTTTTTTTTTTTTCAGAATTAAGCAGTTCTGTTGGTCCAACTTAATGAATTTGAGTTGAGTCAACGTAATTGATCAGATTTCATTCAGCTTATTTACAAGGGTTTGGCCTGACTAATGTATCAGGTTGGAGCAGTAGTAAGTGAAGTAGATTTAACCTGAGTAAATAAAGCTGGTCCAAAAACCAGTTCATTGCAATTATGTTGGTCCTACTAAATGTACTTGTGTTGATTTAAGATAATTTATTTGGGTTGATTCAGCTTGTTTTTTTTGTTACACTCATATACTGCACATAAGATAGACTGATAATTTTTTTTTTTTTTTTTTTACGATGAATTGATCAAATAAATTTTACAATGCTGAACATTGTGCAAATACTATATTATTTAACCACGTTCATTTAAACAGCATGAAACTACATGGTACAAAGTACATGTTACAGTGTGCCTTCTACTCACACAAATGATTTAAAAAAAAACAAAAAAAAAACATATTTTCTGTATCTGTAGTTGATTTGGTTTCACTTGCTCAGATTTGGAGCATTATCATGGCAACATGTGCACTTTTGTTTGAAAAATTCAACATCTCTTTCCAGACCAGGGAGCTTTGGATAATGCTGAGTAATTCTTTCCCATCATTCAGCATTAACCACACTGACTGTAGTTTTCACAGGGGGCCTCTCTTCATAAGAAAGAAGTTCCAGTGAAATGTTCACAGTCTTTTCTCTGGATTATCCAGCCTTTAGGGAGGAAAGTGAGGAAAGCCAAGTTAATGTTGTAATTCTTAAATATAATTCACTTCCACTGTATTGGGGTGTAGGCAGGCTTTACATAGTTCAATGAGTTAGACTAAAACTTCTCTGCACGGCTGGATGACACTAAACCAAGCATGGGAGTATCATTTTTGTAATTTGGGTGTACTGAGGGAAAGAGACATATTTTGGTAGTTTATTGTTTAAATGATTGAAAAGCTTCAGTGACAAGAAGATTTCCATTAAAAAAAAATGCATTCTGGCAGAATGATGTACAGTAAAAGTAGGGTTTTTTTTGTAGTTTGTTGTGTAATTTTTCACAAATGTGACGGTTTTGGAAGGAAACTTGTTATATGATCCATTTCTGTGTATATTTGGAGCAGTTCCTGACACTCCTGTGGAAAGAAAACCAATGAAGAAGATGCCAAGGAAGCCGACACAGGCAACAACCACAACCACAACAACAACAACGAGACCAACCACAACAACAACAACAGCCACCACCACAACAACAACTACCACCCGGCCCACAACTACCACAACCACCACAACCAGAGCAACCACAACCACAACCAAAGCCACAACAACAACAACCACCAAACCCACTACGACCACCACCAGAAGAACCACCACCACCACCACCAAAAGACCCACAACCACCACCACCCAGAGAACCACCAGAGCCCACACCACGGCGCTGTGGCTCCCGGCCCCGAGAACCACCGCCGATCCCTACTACTACAGCCGCAGGGAGAGAGAGAGGTACCCGGCTAAGACCACCCCGGCTGGAGATAACCGAACCGACAAGGACAACCGAGATCCACAGGGCCGCAAGCTGGTACCTGCAACACATAAACCCTCCAGGATCAAACCCACCAAGAAGAAGACCAGTGTAGAGAAGGTGAATCAAGGGTTTGTAATGTATTTGGGATTCATTATGTGCATAAGCTACTAAAAAATTGGTTCTACAGCGATACATTAATGAGTTTTGGACATGTAAGTCATCAAGTTTAATTCATCTTAAACTATATGTTTAACTAATCTGCAAGAGAAATAGGACTGATGTCATTTCCTCCAATTTAAGGGTTCTAAAATCATTTTTTGGTTGTTTTGTTTTGTTTTGTTTTACTTTATTCACCAAGACGCTCAGTTTGTTGACATGCAAGTTCCACATGTGCACTCCAAAATGAGTAAGAACCAACTAAAAAGGAAGATTTGCTTACAGAGAGGAACGTTGTATGGAAATTCAACTTAGAACAGCTGTAGTCTAAACACAAACCTTCAATGCTTATAATTCTATTTGAAATTCAGCATAGTTTTAGAATGATAAAAAAGTATACAGTAAATTGTGTTTACAAATGTGATGTATTGAAACTTTAAACATTTTAGAATTCACACTTACAGTCGGTGGCTGACATCAGTTTTTGGGGGTGCCATTATTTTGTGCATAAGCTGTGCATAGAAACTAAATTATCCTTCAGCAATACCTAAAAGAAGAGAACTGCAAAATGGTAAGAATGCGAGAAAGTCATTGCTAACCGGCTTTATGAACTTTATGAAAAAAAAAATGCAGTACGGTTGCACTAATAGGAGGCAGAAAACAGTATCAGAGTGGTCTAATAATTATTTCCAAAGCTGTAGTTTAGCTACAAAAAGAAAGATGCTGACCAGAAACAGGTTCTCTGTCAGTAGCATCTTGCTGTTGTTGCCACACAAGGCAACATTAGTTTGACCATTTAAATCAGCACCACAAAGTTCTGCAGGACGAGTGCAAACCAAAATCTGAATGCCATCCGAGGCAAAAAAAACTCCTTTCTTTTTTCTAAAACTTTTTATTTTTTATTTTCGATGTAGCTGCACTCACCCACAAAATCACCCAAATCATTCCACAATGATTCATTGTTTCCAAATAGAATTATCCAAGCCGTCTGGTGAAAACTCCAGAATTTTATATCATAGAAAAACAAAATATCCCAATACCATTTAGGCATATTTATATGGCACAAAACTAGGTAATGTGAAGACACACTTCTTGGAGATTATTTGTTTGTTTCTTTAGAATGTGTGTTGATAAGTGATACTTTTGAAATTTTGTAAATAAGTAAATTGTTTTTGAGACAATTGTGTCTATTTGGCACATATTGATTAGAGTATTAGTTGCTTAGTGATGCAGTTTTTGGGGGGCTGACTCTTTCCTGTAGTGTGTTGTATAGCTGCTTTTTTGTGCATGTAAAAGGTCAAACTACTACTGGAGCGACTGGCATAGCTAGACCATTCTCTAGCACTGATGTTGTATGTAGAATGGTCTATCTGCACCTCACTATCAGTCTGCTATAGGACCACAACACCCTCTGGCTTGTTTGTGTTTCTTTCAACCAATCACAATCGTACTGGGCGATGCTAAGCCCAGGATGCAGTGATGGTGCCCCTGCAAAATAGTGATGAGAGGCGAGAACTGGCTTTGAAATGGTCAATGATGCAAATTTTTGGTGAAGCATGAAATTTTCAGCATGGAGATTGTTCCTCGTAGTGAAGGAGATTTTGAAAACATGTGGATAGTGGGGTTGAAAGAGAAGGCTGCATGAAATGTGCAGCCAGTGACAAGTTTATAGCAAAATCCGGTGAATCAGACAAAGGGAGCTATTCTCTCCAAACTCCAAACGTCAGACACTGGCTCTTGAAAATCAGACTGGAAATCGACTGAATCATTGATATTTAAACCAGGAATTAAAAACATTATTAACCATATTTGCTTATATGTGCAGGTGCTGACTAACGAGTACGAGGACAAGTACGAGCCCAGCAGGCCGACGGCGAGCGATCCAGAGGAAGCAGAAACCTTCACCGATGTCAGTCCCACCAAGAGGGTGAAAGGAAAACACGACAAGCACGACAAGAAGAAGAAAAAGACTGACAAGGCTGCCAAGAAAGCTGAGAGGAGAGGAGGGAAGGCAGGGAAGGAGGGAAAGATCGGGGGAAAGAAGAATGGAAAGAAGCTGTCCAAGTATCCCGAGAAAGACGACTACCCGAAGCCCACGAAGAAGCCGACGCCTCCGCCAAAGGGCTCGCTGGCCTCCTTCCTGGACTACTTTGAGAACAGGAGGCGGCTGCTGGTGAGAGCATGACGTATGATATTCACAGGTCATAAAAAACCTTCCTTTAGGCTTCGGTCAGAGGGAAATATTCTGATAGAGCACCACTCCTCAACTGCAACAATCTACCAGCGGTTTGGGTAATACAATTTCTTTCTGAGACTTAGATGAATAAATCTATACAACGGTCACATCAAGGAACAAAATATCCCCGCAAACACCTCTGAAGTTCTCTTATTAACCTGTTGCATCCTGCATGGCAACCAGAGGTGCATTTTGTGTCCAACCAAGAACCACAGCATGTAGTTTTAACCTTCTGCTTTTGCATGGTAAATACAGAAGACCAGACAAGCTAATTAATGAGCTTCAGCTTGCTCATAGGTAGATTTTGTTACCTTCAAATAAGGCCAGGCTAGCAGTTTCCCTCTGCTCTCAAGCTTATTTATAAGCTAAGCTAACTGACTGTAGCTTGAGCCAGATAAATGCACTTTGCATCCACATTTGTAGTAGTAGTAGTAGTAGTAGTAGTATATATCAAATGAATCTGAATGAATTGACCTTGCCATTGCATTGTCTGTGCAATAAAGTGTTGGCAAGAAAAACAACTTTGAATTTACAACAGGTTTATTAGCAGTCTGCTTCGATCGTGTTTGAATTACACACACATATATATGTGATATGTTAATATGTAGGCACTCAAAAACTGCACAAGTATTGGCCTGGCTTACTGCCTCTGCAAGTAGACTGCTATAAGTGAACACTTAAGTCAAGATAATATTGACATTTTCTTTGATTAGACACTAAGTCACATCGTTTCCAACCATCATGGTTCTGATGTTGCCAGATTCCACACAACCGCCCCTACACAGTTAGGACGACTTATCTCATTTTATAGCGATACACATGGAAAAACAGTACAATTTCACAGCTCCAAAATATCTTGTCCTTGATATAAAGGCTGATATGAAAAATCTACAAGTATTATCATATCAAATGATGCAAGATCTGGATAGCTGAGACTGTTCTGAAAACAAACATTTTCAGCATTTATATCATACATACTGCTTACATATATGATCTGTTTCCATACTTTCTGTACTCCTATCTGCTCTGGGTACACAGCCTGCAGTTCAGCCACGAAGTGAATTGAGTATTGTTTGCATCTGAGTTACTCATGGCTTCTTGTGCAAATAGTACATTTTTGGTAAATATTTAAATGAAGTGATTAAAGATCAAGACTTTATGGGGTTTTTTTAAAGTTATTTTTTGGCCTTTGTGCCTTTATTGATAGTGCAGTGAGAGAGAGAGAGAGAGAGGAAAGTAGGGGAGAAGAATGGGGGGAGGACATGTGGGAAAGGGTCATGAGCAGGATTTGAACTCATGACCTCCACATTGGGACTGTAGCCCTGCACATGGGACGCCAGCTCAACCAGGTGAGCTATAGCAGCGCCCCAAGATTTTATGTTTTTATTTGTTAATTTTCTTGACAGAACTGTGCATTAGAGATGATAAGTTCTAAGATGGTCAACAAATTGAGGATTCAACAATTCTTCCTGTTGTTACAGTTAGTAAATGGTGGGATTTTGGTATTTACAAAAAAAAGAAAAGAAAAGAAGTTATCATGCCTTTTAGGGCCTTTCTCAAAGCATCAATCATAACATGACACAGTGCTTAAATACAGCCCATAATTCCTCTAGCAATTGCATGACAAGCCACTGACAGCTGATCTGGAGGTTTTTTTATGATCACACACAACAGTATCTTGCACAGCTGTAGATAGCTGTAGGCTTGACAATGACTCAGTTATCACATCTAACTCTATGCAGAAAGCAATTAAAACTTTCCCCAGAATGTCCAGCTTTTAAAGTAAATGATCAGCATTCATCAGGTTTTCCCCCATCAGCAGCGAGAAAATAGAGGAGACAAAGGCAATTAGTGCAGTAATCCAACAGAAATGTCTGCTAAAACCATCATCTTTTAGTTTTGTGGAGCTGGACACAGCAGCCTTCTGCATCCCTGAACAGTTGGAAATGTGCAGCAGCAGCAGGAGGAGGAGGAGGAGGTGATCTACTGTATTCTGCATCTCCAATGAGTTTGTTTCCAGCACAGAGCGCTGGAAGGTTATGAAAGTTTTAAACGCCAAAAAGAAAATCTCAGCATCTGGAATAGTGATTTGACACTGATTAAATTTTGCTGGTCAAGGACCTCTGTGCCTCGGGGCGTTTCCTACTTTTTATTTTCTGTGATGCTGTTTCTTTCTAATCACACTGAAGTGCAACACGTCCATCCTGCAGCACTCTGACAGGCTGCACAGCTGTGTGCTAACAGACTGTGTGTCTCTGTTTTGCAGTCAGTGTAGATTCTTATCGCAACAGTGCTGTGGGCAGGCTGGGAAAATATGCCTGCAGGTTCATGTAAACATCACCTCTGCAGCGCACTGTGCATGTATGTGTGTCTGGTTGCATATAGATGATACTCTAACCTCCATACGTTCCTCCCTGCAGCTGATTACGTCCCCCAGCGAGGAGAACAGTATGTATGTTCAGCAGAGGGACGAGTACCTGGAGTCTGTGTGCGAGATGGCCATCAGGAAAGTGTCCATTATCACCATCTTTGGCTCCCTCACCAACTCCACTATGAAGATTGACCATTATCAGATAGGTAAGTATGCTGTTAAAAAAAAAAAAAAAAAAAAAAAGTAAGAAAAAAAAGAAAAGAAGCTTTTTAGCAGTTGTAACAGTCATTTTTTTTTGTACTTTTTATTTTACAGATTTTACCAGTTTTGGTAAATTACAGATAACAGTCAATAAGATAACAGGAAAAAATGTATTAATTTATATAGAGACAACAACAAAAGACCACAACAAAAAGGCCAAAAGTGTAAATAATGTCCACAGCAAAAAAAATCTGTACAAACAATATTTTACAGATATTGGCCATTATATGAAAGAAAGATTATACAAAGGATTATAAAATGGTAAATCATTTTTTGACTTTTTTTAGTTATTTACTACAGATAATAGTACAATCACAGAAAAGGATTAATTTTACATTTAAAC